GGCTATTGGTGAGGTTAGAGATTTAAACCTGGGTGTTGAGGGCTTCGATGAGGGTAGAGTGTTTTTTCTTTGAGTGGGCTCGATTAGGGTTGGGCGCCCAAATAGAATCTTGTTCGACAATGAATGCGCCCTGTTTGTAGTGGTTATTCGGGTTACACCATGGACCCGAAAACGCAGTAGGAACTGTCTGTGAGGTTTGTATGAGTTCTTAACTGCTAAGACGCAACTCACTTGATTCGGGGATCCCATCTTGAGCTCAAGGAAGGAATGTTGCTGGAAGAATGATTTTGGAGTGGCTGGGGGGACGCAGTTTCCAGGGTTGACTTTTGCTAGAAGCCTCTTGAACCGACAATACGGTTTGAATGACCCCTTGCAGTACTAACGGTCTACATGCTATATAACAAAACATGATTCCTAAGGAACACACAATTTTTAAGATACAATTAAGATTTGGAGTCCATGCCTGCCTATGCACACATGTACATACGTACTGTGCATTCCCACATGTGTAGGTAAATACATCATAGGGTCGCTGTCTGAGTTGGGATTTCTGTCTCACGGTTCCTAGATTTGACTTCGCTGCGATGTTCCCGGAAGGAAGCGAACTCCCTGATGTAAGGAATCCGAAATTCCGGAAAATATTCGGGTTCGAACTCAGGGTTTCGGTTTCTATCGCCCTGATGCTCAGTCACCGCATGCGCGCGGCTGAGCATCTCGATCTCCTTCAGGTGTCCGGAGTTGCACTCGTCCGTGCAGAGGATGGCGATCTTCTGCGGAGGGTTGGCCTCGTCCGGACTGTTGTGGGCTTCGGGCTTTTAGGTTGCAGGATCAAAAATGAAAGGGTTTCCGGCTTTAGGGTTTCGGGTTTAGTGCAGGGTAGTGGGGTTTCCCCTACAGCCTGAAATTGATCCATGAACTCAGCCACGTTCCATAACCCACAAAGTGAAAGCCCGAAGCCGCAAAAACAGTTGAACCCGGTGGGCAAATTACAGGGCCACGTTCCTCTGAGCTTGACTTGAGCCCCCAAAAGTAGGTAAAATAATGACCCAAAACCTATAGTATAAGAGGCTATTATTCTACATACTTTGAGGGTCCAGGTTAGCCTGATTCCCAAACTCTGCAACCCTGAGCCCTTCGCTGCCCTGGTTTGCCAAGCTGCTCTGGTCCTTCTTGGCTTTCTTCAGCTAAAAACACGGTACGGCTCTACTCCTGCTCAAGGGCAACATATCAACCCAAGACCCACTCCCCATAAGATATAGATGCGGATTCCCGAAAAGATAGAGATGTAGGAGTAGATATAGATAGACCCTCTGCAAAAAACATATCGTCGACCCTATGCGACGCTGCAGTTGAGCTTTTGAATCACACGGTGCAGGGCCAGTTTCAGGACTCAAGACTGAGTGTAGAGTCCGGCTGAAACCTGCAAGCCTCCACCGCGAACATGTTGTGACTGGTTGAATTTTATAGCCAGTCCCTGAAGCCAAAACACCCTAAATAACCAGCCAGACCGACAGCCTAAACCCTAATTGAACCCTAAACCCGTAAACCCTATACCCTAAACAAACCCTAAACCCTAAACCCTCAACCCTAAACCCTTTTTGCCACTGGACTGAAGTCTAGCCAGTTTAAGACCCCAACCCTAAACCCTGTAAACCCTAAACCCTGTAAACCCTAAACCCCTATAGAACCCAGGGCCAGGCCTTTAGTTCCTGCATCTCTGGCGTGGTGACCTGACCGGTTTGCCCCGCGCGGCGTTTGCTCCTGGCTGGAGGCTCAGGGTTAACCCTGAGGATCATGGGACTTAGTTCCTTAAAGGGCTCCTTAAAGGGATTTATAGGGGTTCCTTGAAAGGGATCTATGAGGTTTAGGGTTTAGGGTCTACTTGGAGGATCATGGGACTTAGTAAGTAAGGTTATAAGTACCCTAATTGGGGGTTATAAGTATGGTTACCCGAATTTTCACCCTAGTTACGAAGTCTCATGATCCTTTAAGTATGCCTTCAGGGACCTTATTATGGGGTCCTTAAGGGGTCTAGGGCCCTAACTATGAGGTCCTTGGAGGGATAGGGCTACAAGGCTTTGATATGTCGGTTGGCATTTTAGGTTTCCTTTGAGGGCTCCTTTTAAAGAGGTCTACAAGGGTTGCTTTGATGTAAGGGTTCCTTTAAGGGTTCCTTTAATTCAAGAAGTCTAAAAAAGGCTACCGTAAGGCCTTAGCACATTCAGGGGCAAGCAGCTCCATAACAGTGCTATCAGTGCTATGGCTCAGGGTTGAGGAACCCTAAAATGCCCCAAGCCTGATTGAACCACTGAGCCCTGAACCCCAAACCCGAAGGGTTTCGGATTCAGGTTACACCTTCTCAAGGCGCCAAGCGCAAGCTTCACCTCGAGTTTTCGATTAGCATACTCACGCCTTGGGTTTAGGTCCTGTGAGTTTAGGGTTTAGGAAAGATGGCGCAGGGTGTAAGCCTTTCGCACGCGTTGAAAAAATGATGCGCCGTTTGGAGTGTGTCTCTTCCGGCAGTGTTCGAGCTGCGATGCTCCAAACTGAACCAGACACCAAAGAATTCCAGGGACCATCGCACATGCATTGAAATTCCTCTTCAAAGCCCGCAGATGCCCGCTGCAAACGACCCACTGGAAGCCCAGACCCTGAAGCCTCCATAGAAAAAACCTGTTTAAGGTAGCTGCAAACCACACATTTTAAAAACAAAGGCCACCACCCCCAGATCCTAAACCCCCTTGAACAAGCTCGTGGAACCTTCAACAGACAGGACCCTAAACCCTAAACCCTACTTGTATCCCCAAACCCTACAAAATAGCAGGTTGTGACCCCTTAATTAGAGGGTATAACCCTGAAAACAGTAGGCTTTTGGATCCCCAGGTAGACCCTAAACCACCCGAAGCACAGCTCCTGCTTCCGGGGAGAAAAGAGCGACAGGCGCGAAGGATGGCCGAGGTTCGGAGGTAGAACCTTACTAGTTTTTGTCCCATACGCGTTATAGGGATCGGGTTTAGGGCTTAGGGTTCAGGCTTGTAGAGGACGTAGGGGGCCATCTTGTCCCATACGCGTTTAAGGTATGGGGTTTAGATGGGTCGTTTAGAGTTTGGATGCTTCTTAAGGTAATCGGGGGTCTCAGCAAGTCATAAGTTTTAGGTCTTTTTGTTCACAAAGGTCAAAGGGTTTAGAGTGTCCGGCCTCGCGAGCCTTATGTACTTGGGTTTACACTTCAAGAAGTGTTGCTAAGCATGAGCATGGTCTGTCAAGGCTAGCAGGATCACCGCCCCACTCCTTGACAATGTGGGATATTCCGACAATATACAGTAGAATCCCGGAATGATGAATCTTGCTGGGAACCTGTACTTCACCTTAAGGACATGAGGATGATGTTCCCACTTTCTGGCTTCAAAAAGGTAGAACCTCGATGTGAGACTCCATGCAGCTCTCCGTGGATCAGATGCTGCGATTTGCTTACCTATGGGAAGCGGGCAGAACAATTCTTCGGGATTTTGGGTCTATGGCTGTGGAAGTGCCTGAAGAACTACTTGTGGTGGTTGCAAAGGTCAGCAGACACAGCAACAATGTATACCGCAGTAGAGCCGCTTGAAGGTCTCCCATGGTGTCAGCGACTTGCTCCTGCGTGGTGCCGCCACGCGTGTTGGAGCGACGACCTCAAAAGACAGTCTGGTTCTTTGCCAAGGCACTTACATCAAGCTACCAAAAGGGCAATGGATACTGCCTGGACAACTTGCATCTCTCCATCATGGTAACTCAAGCTGAGCGAAAACCCATCAAAGAGCTCCCGACATAAAACCGGCGTCATCGACACGTGGGAGAGGGGGAAGTGGCAGTGTGAAGCTTTCGTCTAGCGCTTAAATCATCCGTGGAAAAGCTTCTTCCTAAACCGTGATGCACACCCTAACTAAGCCCTAAACTCTTAACCCCTGGACCAACATTCCCTAAACCTGGAAGCCTGCAAGCTTGAACCACGATTCGAGTCGCAGTCGCCTGGGGTCCGAAAGCGAAGCCTAAACCTTGTAGTAGTCGTTGAAGGGTCGTTGAAGTAACCTTCATAATCACAACAGCAGTAGTAAAATCCATTAAGCAACTTACTACTGGTATACCTATATAGCAAGCCTCACAGGGACCTTCTAGTAACCTCTTAATCCGCCCTCTAGTTCCCCTCCATAACCGTCATAGTCACACGTGAAGGAACACAAAGCTGAAACGAAACACCGTGATACCTCGGTTTCCCGGGCGAGGGTGCCGCGTGGCAGGCTGTGCCGCAGGACCCCGGGATTCCGCGGGTTTGGCACGAGACCCTCCATGGCTCCACTTCCCTACACACTAAGCCCTACAAACCTTCATCTGCAGTCGAGAAGTTCAGGACGTACAGCTTGAACAAAGTGATCTAAACTGATGTGGACAGGGACATGAGTTCGGTCTGATACTCGCTGTTGCATTCCTGAGTCATGCAGCAGCGATCGGACATGACAGGGAAGGTCCATACTTGTGACCACAATGGCGCGCTTGGAAAGTTCCATAAAGATCATGCCATAGATGCCAGATAGTCATACATGGGTTTGGGGATCTATGTCAATCTATGGGTACAAACTGCATACGTACGTACGGATCGTATTGACGTTCTGATTCTTGTTCCATCGATAACTGTGGAAGATGACATCCTTCAACCTCTTATCTGCCCGCGGCCAAACGCAAACTGCCGACAATTTGAGCCGAGGGCGGTGTCGTGTGGAGCATGGTTTGGACAGGTTCGGGACCAAGTTCACGCACTATGCAGTAACCGCTGCTGTGCCGTTCCCTTAACAGAAGGGGAAGGATTGGAGTTGCAGTCGGTTTTGAGAGCATGGCACAGGCACAAAACCTCAATCCCACTGCAGCGGGCAAAGCCCCAATACCTGCCGTCTTCAAGCCATCAACCCTCAGACCCTTACAATGCTAAACCCTAAAACGAAGAGCCTCAAGTGAATCAAAGCGGCGCGTGGCTAAAGGCCGTTCGCAACTCCTCGGACAAGCTCCTCGGCTCCGCTTTGCCCCAGGTGGTGGTGGTGGTGGTGGTGGTGGTGGTGGTGGTGGTGGTGGTGGTGGTGGTGGTGGTGGTGGTGGTGGTGGTGGTGGTGGTGGTGGTGGTGGTGGTGGTGGTGGTGGTGGCACTCTAGGGGCCTTAACAACTAGAATAGAATAAATTAGACTAGATAGTTATCATAAGGAACCCTCGCAATAGTATTGGTAATTATTTCGGCCCTTATGGTAATTAAAACCCCTGCAAAGAGTATGGAGAGTGACGTAAAGCCGAGTCCAGATCCCAGAACTTCGACATGTGGTGCTGAAGGGCTTACGTGCTTAGGCCGTTTAGAGTAGAAGTAGTACTAGTAGTAGTAGTAGTAGTAGTAGTAGTAGTAGTAGTAGTAGTAGTAGTAGTAGTAGTAGTAGTAGCAGTAGCAGCGGTAGCAGCGGTAGCAGCAGTAGCAGCAGTAGTAGCAGTAGTAGCAGTAGTAGCAGTAGTAGCAGTAGTAGTAGTAGTAGTAGTAGCAGTAGCAGTAGCAGCGGTAGCAGCAGTAGCAGCAGTAGCAGCAGTAGTAGCAGTAGTAGCAGTAGTAGCAGTAGTAGCAGTAGTAGCAGTAGTAGCAGTAGTAGTAGTTTTTTTTTTGGGGGGGGTTGGGTTTGGGCCCTAAACCCCAAAAGCAGAAAGCATGCCAGGTGCATCGGCGGCTCCCCGGCTCCGCAACGCAGCACCATGACACAAGGCCCTGGGCGGTGTTAGGGTTTACCTTAACCCTGAATAACCTATTCTTTTAGGGTTCCTTATTATGATTCCTTTTAAAGGTCCTGAAAAAGGTAGGTTATTCCGGGTTAAAGTAGGGTTTAGAGTTTAGGCTTTGGGAGTGTCTTGCAATAGCACACCTTTTGTTGAGGTCCGTCTCATAGATGAAGGGGACGAAATGTCTAATTCGTGCCGGTGTGTAGAAGTCAACACTTCAACACTTTGAAGCTGCCATGCTGGATGGCCAGAATGTTATCCTAGAACTGTGTTCACAGCCTGTGCTCCTGATCCCGGAATACCAAGTCATCAAAAGCTATCAAGCCCCAGCATATCTCAGATAGCTGGTTTCGGAGCTTGCCGGTATCATAAACCGGCTGTCCTTGTGTATTCAACTATGAAGTATGATTCGGAGATGGGGGGCCGCAGTTCCTATGAGCTAGAACGAAGGCGTTCCACCACGATGCCCTTCGCCCCAAGACCTGGGGTCACAACGTCGCTTCAGCCTGCTTTGGGGTTGGGTGGACGGAATAACAATACCAATACGCATAACAACAATAACAACGACAATAACAAGAGTAATACCAATTACAATCATACTAATAAAACTTTTAGTGCTAGTAGCAAAGAATGATAATGATAGCAGGAATAGTACTACGAATAATCGTACTAGCAATGACAACAGTCATACTCGTAATGACATAAATGTTTCTCAAAATAACAGCAATTATAACACTGGTAGAAACAACAGTACAGTAGCAGTAACAATCATAATGCCAAGCGTACTAGTAACGAGCATTGTAGCTACTTGTTTTGATAGAAACATGCTACCAATAGTGATAACATCAATAAGAAGTTCATGGTGATAAGAAATCATGAACTCCGGGACCGGCAGAGAAGACCAAACGGAACAGGTTGAACCACTCCGGGAACCATGTTGAAATAACATCCTTAAGAGGTTGCAGGAGCACACACACACACACACACACACACACACCAGGTCACGTTTCCAGCAATCTACCTTCTGAGAAATCAGCACCCATCACGCGAAATGCCATCCACTCACCTGACACACCTTGTGCCCGTGAACCCGAGACCGAACTCGCGATCAAGTCGAGATCTAGCAAACCCCAAACCCTGAAGGAATGGGCCCGCGTGTCGAGATTGTCGAGATTTGGTTTAAGCCGTGCTGACCTAAATCCAAAAAGCTAAATCCGATAAACACTAAACTCGACATCCTTCCTAACGCCATTGGGCGCCATGAGTTTGCTGAGCTCGCTACCTCCATGCAGGCCTGGTGGCTTGAAAAAGATTTATCAACAGCTTCAAGGGTTATGATGGCCTCAAGATTTCAAAATCAGGACCAAACAACCACAACACCATTTCGCTAAATTGCCTAGACTGAATCCATACTTGCACAGTGTGGATATGGACTCTGACACCTCCTCGGCCTTCAGCATAGTAGACCGGCGGGATATCGTGCGGGTTTAGGGTCTGCAGGCAGGGTTTCGAGCGCAGTAACTCAGGGGTTAAATCTCGGGCAGTTTCGGGCCAGGTAGATTTGGTTCCGGAGTCCTAATAAGCACTAGAATCGTTTCGCAATGCGAAAGCACCGGCGTCCCAGCCTTGCTTGGCATCGGCGAAAAGTCCACCAAAGCCTGGGTTCTTGTTAAGGGATTGCATTTTGAGCCACCAGATTACGGAAAACACATTACTTACGCGAGATCTCTACTATGGCAACTTAAGTTAAAGTCCTTAACAAGAGCCCAGAAGCTGCGACATCGTCCACCACATCGCGCAAGGGCCAGTCCGGGGAACGGACGTCCACAAGCCACTTCCTGTTCGGAAGATATGGTCTCATACAATATATAATACATAGTGTAACGATACACGATGGTATATAATATATAGTTTATCATAATGTATCATGTAATGCGGCTCTGAGATCGGAGATTAGAAGTTATAAAGGTTTTATGGGTTCTGGTTGTCGTGGATTTGCAGTTCTACTTTGGTCGGTATTGAGTCGGTATAGTGACTAGTGTCTTATGGCACAATAGGGTTCATATATGGACCTCAGCAAGTGACACCAAAGTCAGCCCTAATCCGCGGGCGCAGAAGGCGCAAGCGAACTGAAACACCTGAAGGGCAGCATCTTTTTACCCCCAAGTGCCACAGGCCGTAGATTCCGTAGATCTGCGAGAAGGACTTTCAGAAAAGAGGAGCCTTACTTCGAAGCTGCTTCTAGGATCTCGGGTATTCTACACATATCAAGCGGGCCTGTGTATGTGTGCACAACTACGACGGATGAGCAAAAGTATAGTCTCATAAATAGATAGAACAAACTACCAAGTTAGGTGCACGCGCATCAAACACACACACACACACACCTTTGTAGATATATGGGTGTGTATATATATGTACCCACATGCCCACCTGCAACCTACATATATACAGGTGTATAAATGAATATATCTGTATAACAGTAGACCTATCTTTCAAACTATCTGGCCATCTACCAATCTGTCTACATACATTTTTCTGCATATCTGTATGACAATATCTCCATGTATCTACATCGACATCCTGATGTATCTCTACATACATCAACATATGTGTTTGCATTATGTACACAAACACATGTACATGCATACATACATACATTCATTCAAACTGTAAATGACAGGACTTCCAGGTTGACTGCAGACTGTGTATGAAGACTCCTTCACGACGGATGCTCCAATTTCAGGAACTCCTCATTGGCTGCAGACGGCCGCACTGCTCTGGCAGTGTCAGCGTAAACCAAAGGAGCTGCAAAGCGCTCTACAGCTCACCTCCCCGAGACGTAAGGGTCTTTCCAAATAAGGCCGTTATTTGAAGGTGGATGCTCTGGTTTAGAAGACCCCACGCCTGTTTGCATACCATTGCTTAAAGCCAGACAACTTTCGCTGTTCAGCGTTGGCCAGCTTGTTCGGTCGTCCGCGGCTCACCTCGACCAGTGCATTCGGGTCCAGGACTTTGTAAAGCTTTCCATCGAGCTCGAAGAAATGCTCCCCGTCCACCACCTGGAGATTTCTAAGCTTGGGGTTTCCAACGTGTACAGCCTGTAGGGGTTTGTCTGCCATGAAAATCGTACTTCTCAGCCCATTTTAGGGTCCCTGATATTCCATCGTTTTGCAGTGACTGAGTTTTTATGCAACCAGGGAGAAAAAAGGTATATGTTTTTATCATAATGGTTCCTGTAAGAAAAAAGTATTAAAGTATGGTACTGCAAAGCCCACGTGATTCAACCCTTGCTGGAGCTTCGCGATGCTTACTACATAAACCCACGGATGCCTAAAGGCTGAACACTTTTAAGACATGAGCAAAGCCGCACTTTAAAGCGAAATCTCCTGACGGCTCCACAACTTACCTGCTAGGACCCTTGCAGAACCCTTACCGAAATCCGCATGGAAACGTAACGACATTTATTTGCACCAGACAAGAGCGCGCTCTCACAATATCCCCTTCTGTTTGTTTTGCAGCCTTGTAGAACTCGTACAAACCCTCTGCAGTACCCTCTCATGTAAGAACCCTGAACCCTAAACCCTACTTATGAGAACCCTGAACCCTAAACCCTACTTATAAAAACCCTTAACCCTAAACCCTGCTTATGAGAACCTTAAAGGCCTGGAGTTGGAGTTCCAGAAGCTCCTCGCCCTTGGGATCCGTTGCGAGATCCTTCAAGACTTGTTCAGGCTTCTTGTAAGGGCCACTCGGTTTAGGGTTTAGGGTTTAGGGTCTTGAAACGGCTCCAGGGTTTCGGGAGAAAGGGTTTTACAGGACTTTGGGTTGGGATTTCGGGGCTTTACGGCCGGAACAACTCGACCATGCAATAGGATCCGTCGTGAAACAACCCAATGGGCATAGGAGCAAAGAAGAACTACTTGCAACAGGTCCTTCTCATGTTGATGGATCACGTGCTTCTTGTCATCGACCTCCTCACTGGCCCAAAACCCAAGGAACAAAAACAGTCGAACCTATCAAAACCGACTACCTTGTAAGAGCCCCCAAAACTTGAAAACTTGAGTTTGCAAAACAATGAGCCTTTCAGAACCGACTACCTTATAGGAGCCCCAAAAGTTGAAAGCTTGAGTTTACAGCCAGTAAACCTCCTCGATCTTCGTGACTGCCGGTCGCGGCGCCTTCTCGGAGGTCTCGGCAAAGTAATCCGGGCTGCGCTTCTTTTTCACTGGCGTCTGGACGTCCATCTTGTCTATGACTTAAAGCGCACCCGGGGGGGGCCGAAAGGCTGCGAGAAGACTTTAAGGAAGTTTGTTCTCCACTACGGTTTAGGGTTTAGGGTTTAGGGTTACCCTAAACCCTAAACCCCTCCACCTTTTGCCATCTGAGTTTAGGCCTCGGTGCCTTACGGTGCTTAGTGACAGGCGAAACGGCCACCATGAGTTTGCTTTCTATAGCTCCCCTGAGCCTTGAAGTAACGCCGCAAACCAACACACCGTCTTGCTGGCGGGCGCAAGCCTGATCCTTGGATCCCAGAGACACAACTAGAGTCCTAAATGTATATACTGGCCTCGGAAATGCGCCTAAACCCCTTCTGAAACCCTGAGTCTGCAAACCCAACCCAAACCCAAACGAAACACAAATCCACCCAAACCCTAAATCCGCCCCAAACCCTCGTTACCCCCCTGAATCCGCCCAAACCCTCGTTAGGGTTTAGGGGTTACGGTATAGGGTTTAGAGTTCCTAAACCCTAAACCGCCTAAATTAGATGAAACCTGGTCTGCCAAGGCCCGGACGCATCAACGAGGGCCTTGATTTCCTCGGCCTGGTCTTGGCTGGCTCCTGGAAAGCACAAAAGCTAGGGCTTAGGGTGTGAGGTTTAGGGTTTACTGTAAGGATTGAGGTTTTCGGGTTTAGGGTTTGGGTTTCGGATTTAAATTTAAGGATGGAGGCTTTAGGACTCACGCTTCAGGTGCTTTTTTTGGACGTCCCCTGTTCCATTCGACGAGGGCTGAAGCGTTTGGGGTTTGGAGTTTAGAATCTCGATGCGAGTGGGCTACTGCATAGACTTATCCTTAAGCCCCAGAGCCCGAAAGTGCGGTGATGGACTCATACCGGCCTCGTCTCGCCAAAGCCTGAACCGCAAGCCTCAAAGCTAAGCTAAACAAGGTACTGCCATGACATGAACAAGCAGAACAGGGTCTTTGGGGGGGGGGGGGTTCGATGCATACATGAAGGGCTCGAGCTCGGGGCAGTATAAAGGCTGACAAATAAGTATGCAAGCCACTAGAGCAGATTTGCGAAACTCGGATCCAGAAAGACAAAAAAACCCGACGCTGCTGATACATCTCTGCTAGCAGGCTGCGGGAGATGTGTTCAAAACCTGGGCACCATGAATGCATTGGTGGTACAGGAAGCCATGAAGCTCCGTGAAACACAGGTGTACCGGAAGAGCATGGACGAGCTACCATTTAGGGCTTCAGGATTTGAAGGCTTTAGAGTTTCAATTTTTAGGGTATGTAAGCTTTATTGGATTTATGCTGTTCTTTTGAGCTTAGGCTCTTAGGGTCTAGGAAATCCAACCCTTGGGAGAAGAATTTGCGCTGCTTCTTGGACTTCCCAGAAGCCTACTGGATTAATATAGGTGCCTTAATACATATCTATACGATTTTGCGGGTTCCTTATTACACTTGTATAGATAGTATTATGGGCCCCAACACCGTATTCCAATTATTGAGGACCCTATATTACGCCAAGTTTACGCAGCAAGATCCAGGGAAACTCGACACCTAAAACTTGAATCTAAGGAGGCCAACGCACAAGGGTTCGACATCTGTTTCATCACAGCACAGGTGGGATGCATGCTAGGAAAGTGGTCGTCCGAGGGTGAAACGGAAGCGGGGCAGTCAACTTCGGCAAGCTGAGCACAGAATGCATGCTGGAGTACATAGAAGACTTGAACACGACAAGCACAGCCATGCCGATTATGTCGCGGAGAAAAATGTTGCTAAGGAAGCCTGCGGCGACAAAGCATCCGGCTCCAGGCCTTTACTCCAGGCTATGAGCCCAGCCGAAGAGCCCATAGACAAGCTAAGCGGATCTGCTTCCTTCACTGTCGGCAAATTTAAAGTCCACTCCTCTGATTTCGGTGAAGTCGGCTCTGACGGCTTTTCCTCGTCCTGGCCGGGGCTTCCCTCGACATCTATGGATTTTCCTCCGCGGCTCTGTGGCTCGATGACCATGGAGGCCGTGTCCTGCGTCTCTGCTTGGCCCAGGCCATAGAGCTTCTGCATGTGTCGGATTCGAGCGCGTCGCTGCTCTTCGAAGGAGACCGCCTTCGGCGGCTTCCCGGGCGCTCTTCGTTTCGCAGCGCCCACGGAGCTCGCCGAGCTCGAAGACCCAAGCCCGGGGCCCTTCTCGCTGTTTCGGCTGCTGCTGCTGTAGGGCCGGGTACTACCGGTGCTGCTTCCACTCGGAAGCCTGGGCCTAGGTGGTGCCCATCGCTTTCGGTCGTTGGCCTTAGTGAGCCGCTCCACAGTATCGCAGTAATCATTCAGACGCACCTGCACGGAGGGCTGCCCCGGAAGCTGGGCAGGAGCACTGCAGCTGGAGAAGCCCGAGAAGCCGGATCTAGAGGAAGATGGGGATGCCTGGTGGCTTCCTCCTCTCACCTCCCTGGTCTCGGTAGCAAGGACTTGATGCTGATGTTGTATCAGCCGTGCCAGCTTGTATTCTTGCCATGGGCCGATATACATGGCACCCTGCCTCCCTCCCGGCGTGGTCTCTAGAGCCGAAGGCAGCGTCAACAAAAGGGATGCTTCTCGCTGCTAGTGACAACGACAAGAGTCTTGACGAGCGAGGGTGCTAACGACGACGATGGGATTTGAGACGATGAGGAAGATCATTAGGCTAGTGACCGCAGTGATGGTGACTCGGTGACCCTTCGGCAGGTGATTATGAAAATGATGACCTTGATCAGCAAGAAGCTTCAGGCATCAACTTTCTGATGAAGCGGCACATGCTGCCGATATGGACGACAGCGAAAACCGGTGATGATGAAGATGATAATGATGCTGATGATGATGATGGTGGTGGTGGTGCTGCGGGATGGCGATGTTGATAAAGGAGATAACGATGATGCTGATGGTGATGGCGATGCTGGTGATGCTGGTGTTGGTAATGTTGTTGGTGCCATGGTGATGACGGTGGTGGATGATGGTGATGTTGATAGAGGTGGCATAGCTGATGCTGATGGCGTTGATGATGGTGATGGCGACGATGATGACGATGATACCGGCGGCGGCAGTGGTTGTGCTGATACTGATGCTGATCGTGGTGATGATGATGATGGTGACGGAGCGAGGGGTCCCATAGCTGCAGAACCCCCAGTGAAACATTCTCCTTCAAACTTCAGACCATGAAGGGAAAGAGTACAGGTGATGCTCAGCCACAAAGCCCACAAGGCTCTCGGACACGTTTGTGCGAGGGCTGCGGGATTCCGAAGCCGGCTGTCTCTGCCACCTACCCCGTCAACTCGAAGCCCTCAGCCCCTGAACCCTGGAAATACTTCCGAAATCTTCTAGATTGCCGCCGGCTCCTGTGGCTGGCCGGACAAGTCTGCTCAATGCCAAGCGATCGGCTCCGTCCTTGGCCAAAGAAGGCACAGCAGCAGCCCCAACCCTAATTATTAAGGCCCCTACATCATAGTACCCTTATAGACTTATAGATCCCTTACAGTAACCTTTATAGATCCCTAACCCTAACCCTAAATCCAAAGCTTTGCAAACATCTACACGCATTGATGGTCTCTTGGTCCTGCGTTCCTTCGGAACCCAATTATGCCAACTAGGTCGACAGCTCGAGGCTTATTTGAGGCTACCATCCTAAGCCCCGCCTAAACTCTAACTTCCATGTACCCCGAACCTCCTTTTGGGCACCTAACCCGTTTCAGTGAACTCGAAAACCTGGACAGCCCTCTTCCTGCGTCGCCGTGATGTTCATCGGGTCTTGGGGTGTGGTGTAGAGCTTCGGATATGTAGGATTCTCAAACATTAGCAGATTAGCACAAACTGCATACGCTAAGCCGCTAAACTCTCCAGTCTCCAGGCAAAGGCTTTGCAGCGCCGGAAGCTATGCAGAAAACTTAGCTAATGTATGCCACTTCCTAAACCCCGAAATCCCTGAATCCCGGACCCTAAATCCCAAAGACCGAGAGCCCAAAAACCCAAATTCATAAACCCACATCCCGAAAACCTTTACAATAAGCAGAACACCTCACCGAAACCAAGCTTTGCTCCCATGCTGTCGACCCGAAGCAGCCGGACCTTCCCAGTTCCCGCTGACAAGAGACAAGCAGATCGGGTGGTGCGGGGAAGACCTGCGCATACAGCGGGATTCTGGAGCTGTCGTCCAGAGTGGAGGGCAGTACTGTACCTATATTAGTAGAAACTGGGCTTTCTGTAGTAGGAATTACGATCATGGTTTGGGTAGGTATCACCCACAATAGCTACCTAGGTTCAATTGAAAAAAGAAGGGTAGCCAAATAGAAACTCAAATCACGAAGCAGTAGACAACGACACGCAATAAGCTAGTAACTCTATATGAAAAATGCGAGCTCTGTCGCCGTAATCGTGGCGGTGGTGGTGGTGGTGGTGGTGGTGGTGGTAGTGGAAAAAGCAGTAGCAGCAGAAGTAGTAGAAGTAGTAGTAGTGGTAGTAGCAGCAGCAGTAGCAGCAGCAGCAGCAGTCGCAGCAGCAGAGGTAGTAGCAGTAGCAATAAGAGCAGGGGTTGCTGGTGCTGCCAGTGACTGGTAGTGCTGCTCATGGTGACGTTGCGGAGGCCGTGGCGGTGGTGGCGGCGGCATGGAAGGTGGTGGTCGAAGTCTATCTTGTGACGTGACCACCAGTGGAAGCAAAAACAAAAGGCTTAGAAGGCATCAGGATACGGAGTGCACTGTCAAAGCTTCACAGGATTCTGGATTTGGAATCTCAGGCTCAGCAGGAAACGCGAGCGTTGATGGACATGGAGTCTCGATTTTTGGGGTTTGGGTGCTGACAACCACGGACGAACAGCAGTTCAGGGCTTCTACTTCTTTCCTAAAAAAGCATGTAGCCATGGCCCGAAGCGTATCCTGAAACCCAACCTCCAAATGCTCTTGGTTGAGCCCCGAACCTTATGCTGCTCTCTGCATCTAAGAGGCTGGTAGGGAGGCTAGCTGCTTCAGCTTCTGCCTGCCGTCAAAAAGTCCGACGAAGACTCAGCAGTGGTCTAAGACCCGGTTGCCGAAGAAGCTTTGGGCTTCAGGCAGGAGCTTCTGAACCAGGTTCACGTGCTTCGAAGTCGTTCCGACGATTGCCAGAAAAAGCGACTGGCTCTTCCTCTCGGCCCAGGCCGGTGGACGACCAAGCGATAACCGGGACTATGACACCGACAAGAACACTGGACACTGTGGACCAGGCTATACTATACTATACTACTCATTACTATAACATACGAAAATACGCTTCTCGGCTACTCTTTCTTAGCTATGGTATTATGTGTTCGTGAGGCAGCTGGATCCCAACGAATCTATTCCTCCGAATATGTCCTCGATCTCCATAGAAACCTGATGAAGAAAACCTTGGTTTTTTTTTGTAGGGTTCTTCACATCATGAAACCGAAGATTCTGCAGTTGTAGGGCCAGCTCCAATTCAAGATAAAATAAGGTTTCTACACGGAAGGAAGTGATCCTGCTTCTTACCCTCAGCCCATAAGCCTTCAGCCACATTACTTGAAACAGCCTCCAACTTCCAGGAGCCTTAATGGCCTAACGTACGGGCCTTAAGCCTTAATAATTGGACTATCTTAGAATAGGGTTTTGGGGGCTTATATATAGTATGCCCCAAAAACCCTGTTCAAACGGTCTCTCCTGCCTGCGCTTCAGGGTGCTTTGAAAGCAAGGCAGCAAAGTAGGCAAACGAGGCACTGGGGTGGAGGGTAGAGCCTTCATTTACGGAGTTGTCCTCTAATCCGCACTTTTGGAGTGCCGGCCTAAGTTACAAAACCCAAATGCCACATAAGCCCCAAGCCCTGGGCACGTAGACCCCACCCAAAACACCTTTTTACACCAGGACTATGCATATGCCAGGAACCGAGGCGCCGACTGTGCTGTGGACTCGTGCCACACGGCTACCCCAGATTGCCAAAAGTGATCAACTGGTCATCCCAAGTTTCAGAGTGCAACGACCACGTGGCTACAACTCCAAGATCTTTTAAGGAATCGGGAAGTAAGTCCAGGCATATCAGGCAACAACACATCTCCCCGACGATCACTGGCGAGAACGTCGAGGCAAAAGAACTCCTGCAAGGCCCTAAGAAGCTGTATAGGAAACTCCAGAAAGTTGGGATATGGTTTCATGGTAGCATACCCCATAATTTACCTTAAAGGGGTTACGATAATGATTTCTGGCTTCTACTGTAGAGCTCAACCCACCGACTCGCCTCTGCACCGGCTTCCTGGGTTCCAGACATCCGATGCAAAATCAGCTTGGGATGCTCTCAAGCTTGGGTTGAGGCTTCGGTGGGTGTGTTTATGATGTTCAGGCAAGTGTCCGGTTTCGATTTCGGGAGCAGGTTTTAGTTCCAAGGCTTCTATTAAAGTGTTGGCGATTTTGGAACTTAGGGCCCAGGGAATCCCATTGCTTCCGGCTTCCGAGGCACCCGAGCATTCAAACGAATAGATGCTCCGAGGAAGAGGCTTTTTCGGAGGTAATCTAGGGTTTAGAGTTTAGGGGTTGGCGGATGACAAAGCAGCTGCTTGGAGCAGGGTCTATAGGGTTCAGGGTTAGCAGGGTTTCGGGTAAACGTCTTTAGGGTTTAGGGGATGTTTTGGGGTGCGGGTTGCGGCTAAGCACTGGTATGATATTGTCATTGTAGGCTTGCCCAGTGAAGCACCACTCGGAGAACGCACCTTGCATTGTCCGATTTGCGTGAAAGGGAGCTTGACGCAGATGTAGATGTACATGCAGATATTGGCAGTATACAAACATGTATAGATATATGGAATACAGATATAGGTGTAGACAGACATAGGATAGCTGGTTAACTGTTTAGACCGATAGAGACATAGATTGTTAAACAGAGATAGCAGATAGACAGATCCGTCTGATAGACAGATAGATATACAGATAGCTAGATGGACAAATAGGGAGATACAACGACAGATAGACAGATGGACGCACGGACGGACGGGTATATGGAAAGATAGATAGTTTAGTTTTGCCCAGACATTAGACTAGCCTAGACTAAGTCTTAACCTCAGAATAGGGATGATAAGATAAACAAGCTTAGGCAACTCGATAGTTGAATAAATGGAAAGACGAACAGAGGGAATGGAAAGAAAGATGGGATACTTAGATAGATATACATACATGTGTATATATATATATATGTTATATATATATGTATTAGCAAAAAGGTGGCATTGATTTTAAGCCAGGGTGCAGGGTGCCCAGGCGGTGGGCGTTGCAAACCGCGCGCCAGAGCGGCTCGGGGGCTTCGGAGCCGGCCTGACGCGAGATTTCTCGAAGGGGTTTTAAGGGCCCAGAGAGCCCAATACCCCTTAATTAAGGAATGTAGCTTAAATTATAAGGGGGCGCATAATATGATTTAAGCTATGCTCCTTAATTAAGGGGTATTGGGCTCTCTGGGGGTTTGGGGTTCAGGGTTTCGGCGCCACTCGGACAATCCAGGTTTAGGGTGTAGGGGCTCGGGTTTAGGGTTTATGGGCTTAGGGTTTTGGGTTTCGGGGTCTCGATATTTGCTTGACTGCTTTTTTCCGACAGCACGAGTCTGAATCACAGTACACCGCAGGGCGCGTCCCTGAACATGTGCCAGCACTGAAGCTTCATCTTTCCACACATCGACATCGAGCTCCCTCGTGCAGGACTCAAGTCAACAGATTGACCTTCCAAGGGCCCTGTAGCCAAGGACATACTATAGGGGCCTTAGTAATTCGAATAGGGCTAACCCCCAAAACTGTATCGGTAAGTACTAAGGCCCCTATACTACTTCCCAAGCCCTCATCGTCCGCGTCAGCCATACCCCTCACCTCTACATCATCTCGCTCCGGATAGTTCCCTTAAGCCCTACAAACCTTATAGCTCCCTTTACAACTACCCTTCAAGAAACCCTTCTCCTAAACCCTAAACCTTATAGCTCCCTCTACATCCTAAACCCTAGCCCTCATAGCTCCCTCTACATCCTAAACCCTAAACCCTCTATAGCTCCATCTACATCCTAAACCCTAAACCCTCTATAGCTCCCTTTATCATTACCCTAAGGGTCCAAGTACCCAATAATCATATACTCTCCCAAATATTAACCTACACAACTACTATCCTAAACCCAAGTACCTGATTATTGGGTCCTTTGGACCCTTAGGGTTAACTTTAAAGCATTACCCAGAAACTCCAATATCCCTTAATTAAGGAATATACCTTAAATCATATAAGGGATCCTACTATAATTTAAGGTATATTCCTTTTTTAAGGGATATTGGAGTCTCTGGGCACCCTTAAAGCAAACCTTAGGGTCGCCTGGTTCCTGGCCGCCGCCCCGACCGCTTCCAAGCGCTCCACTGGAGCCTCGGGAGCGACCTGAGGCCAGGGCTCTTGGGGGGTTCTTACCAAAGGGATCTTTGAGAGCTCCTTTGAGGGATCTAGAGATCCATAATAGGGATCTATAAGGGCTCCTTTAAGGGATCTTTAGGGGTTCCTTGAAGGGTTTATGGATTTCATCTAAGTTCCCCTAATAGGGGATCTTTTGCGAATAATACGGTGCATTTACTATGGTAACGTATATCAAATCCTTAACAAGAACCCATTCTTGGGGCTTAGGGCCTTGGGGGTCCAGCGACTTACGGGTCCCTTTTGCAAAAAGGGGGTCTATAATCTATAACGGTAGCTCTTTTCAAAAAAGGGTCTGGACATATCTATGACGGTACTAGAAGGGCGGCCATGAATCTCTCACCAGGTTCCTGGAGAGTTTGATACAGGGCTCTTTCGGTATTTTGAGGTTTAGGCCCGGGTTAGGGGTTGTATAAAAAGGGTTTAGAAAAGGGGATTAGGTTTGCCATGAGTGGCTTCAGCAGGTTTTACCAGGCTGTGAGCGGATTTAAAGGGTTTCTGGTAAATTTATCTATAGGGTTTAGTGTTTAGGGTGTCAGTAGGGTATGCTGATGACGTCAGAAGGTTTACACCACGTTTTTTTAACGGTCTTCGATTCTGAGTCGTATGGTTTCGGGATTCTTAGCGGAGATGGCGGGTGGGGTTTCGTAGAGTCATGAATTTTCCTCCTCTCGCCCAGGAAGGACGAGCCTTTATGCTTGCTAGCGACTCGGGGTAGAGTTGAGGATGTGGGGTTTAGGCTTTAGGTTTCAGGGGCTGTAATGTCCGGGGGGGGATTGTGCCGTCAGTGGCTATAGACAGTGGACTGCCAAAGGAATGTGCCCACATAGCTCACGGATGGGCCTACAAAGTTAGGATATATTGCATAGGAGCCTGAAGGGCCTAAGTATGCACTAGATAGGTGCATGGACGCTTGGGGACTGTAATAGGTCCCCCGGAACACCATAGAACCCTCACATAGAAACCCTTGCAAAACTCTTGTCAGGAACAACACCCACTCACTAAGCTTCTTGAAGGCATTTGGGGATGCGGTTGTGACTTGAGGGGCATCAGGGGAACAACGCCCTTAACCGCCGGCACCACCACGGGCTACTGCAAGGGTTACTGTAGGTACAAGCGGGGCCAAAAGGGTAATTGCGAGGAGTATAGGCCTTCTATAAGGACTCCGATAACGGTACTATTTTGGGGTATCATACGCGGTATGCCGCATGAGCCCGAACTTTCCGAACCCCAAGCCCAATCCCAAAAAGTCTGCCATCGGCACAACACTAGAACCCGGCACACCCGCTGCTCAGCAGGAGCCAAGTGGCAGTGCCCCAGGCGAAGAGCGTCTTGAAGGCCTCTCATTTGCATCCGGTCCGGGGGTGGGGGGGGAGGGGGGGGTCGCCATAAACGAAGCAGATAATATTTGGCATGTTACGCTCGCACAACGATAGCATGCATATATGTGGCACGTGCTCGCACAGCGATAACATGCTGTGTTGGGGTTTAGGAGTTCTGAGCTCAGGGTTTAGGGTATGTTGCAGTATATGACTAGATTCTGAGATCATCGAGACTTTGGTGCTCAGCCGCAATGTGAAAACCCTGGAAGCCTGAAGCTCGAACACAGGTAGGGCTCTTCATGGATATGGGGTAAATCATATTAGCGTGACCCGTCTACTTCTACATCGGGACTACCAGAGAATACAAATCAGCAGTGATTCAGACCCGCAGAGACATCGTGCAGGAAACCCCTGCAATCCTGATGCCACAGGCCTTTTGCCACTTGTCGAAAACACCCCCCCTCATTTCGATCCAATAGGGCGCTGTTGTGTTTAACGATCCCGAGGTTTGGTCTTCTTGTCGGTCATGGTTTTGGAATTAACCGAGGTCAAACCTCAATTATGAGCAGCCCAAGCCCCGAAACAAAACCTTAACACAGGCAGCTTTCTAACATCCCCGCCAAACTCTAAACCCTGAATTTCCCCCCAAATCCTCGACCTAAAGCATGTGATATGTAGAACAAACCCTAGGAATCCGAGACCTTAACTATTAAGCCCTCGATCGAAACCATCCCTTTAAGGAGAACTCCCGACACTGTCTAGACCCAAGAGTAACCTAGGAATAAAAAGGGTGCCCTTTTTGGTTTAAAGGGGCCTATAAGGGAACCTGAACCCTTAACAAGGGAATAAGGGCCTACTCTGGGTCCTAGCTGTAAGGCTTCAGTGCAAGGGCCCTCGCCTCCCCAAGGCTCCTCACCACGTCGGGGGGGAGGTCGGCGACGGGCAGCCCGGGTTTCGAGGGATCCGACTTTAGGAGTACCTGCGGAATTCAGGGTTTAGGGGTGCTAGGTTTAAGGCTTCAGGGTGCCAGGGGTTTAGGGTTTAGAGTTCCGGCTTTAGGAGGACCTGAGGAATTCAGGGTTTCGAGAGATCCGACTTTGAGAGTATCTGTGGAATTCAGGGCTTCGGGGTTCAGGGTTTCGACTCACACACTCAGGGTTTAGCGTTTAGGGTGCTGAGGGTGCTGGGGGTTTAGGGTTCAGGCTGCTCGAGATTTACAGTAAGCCGGAGGGGAGTCAAGTTTAGGGCGGGGTTGATCAAGCTTTTCGGGCCTGTCGGGTTGTGGTTCATGAGTTTAGGTCGGATTTAGGATCGGTGAGGGGCATTTTTTGTTTCGGGATAGGGAGTGTAGTGCCATTGAGGCTTAGGGCCCAGGGCTTGTAAGCTTAGTATGCGAGTTTAGGACCTTGTAGGAATATCTTAGTTTCGGAGCTTGAAGGCTTGGGCTCGAACAGCCACCCGATTCCGCAACCCCAAAATGCCAAATCTCGACACCTTAAACTTCCCAATCATGGGAAACACTACCTGGAAAAGCTCCTAACTTCAGGTCTGAAGACAGGGACAAGCACAGGCAACACCCCCGCCCGGAATTTATTGGGAGGGTGGGGGAGGGTGTCAGGTCAAATGCAAGTAAAAACTTGCTGCTAGTTGCAAAGGGATTGTGAGAAGCTTCTGGCATGAGGATTGACAGGGTGATACATTGTCCTGCAATTTCAAGAGGGCATGCTGTAAATTCCGGCCCGTATATCCTACAGTTGCTGTGTGACACTCTGTTGGCTATTGGCATGGTGGTGGTGCAGCGAAGCAGGCAATCCGGGTCCAATGCCCGTCCGTGTTGCGCAATCTCCCTCAGACTCCCTGAGCAACAACGGAAGCTTGCCTCACAGGGCTTGAACCAACCGCGCTTTGGCGCCTCGGCTTGGGGCTGGGCTTTTGTGCTTTAAAAAGTTGGGGCTTCCGGTTTCGAGATTGATCCATGCCTGATGCCGCTTCTAAACGCCTACCCTTTTGCTGCCAGCTTCAAGTACGCTTGAGTTACAGGAATCCTTTTAGGACCCTTCATGAGAAGTCCAAGCCCGAAGAGCCTTCAAGGCCAAGTCCCCTAAGCGACACAACCAACTCATGCAACACATGTAATATACACGCTACTAAGCTACTAGTAACTAGTATCAAATACTCGAGTATACGATGCTTCACGACCTCCAGAATCGAAACGATGACCCCGGCAATGTTGCGAACTTCTGCAATCCCGAAACGTCACAAGTCCAGCTTACAGCTTACAACCCGAGAAGCATAAGAGCTACAGAACCAACCATCCTAATTTCAATGCCCCAAAGCTCCAAATCCCGCTCCAAAGTCTTGCACAAAACTCTGACAGCTCCAGGCTCCAAGCTGTTGCGCGCGCTCAAACCTCAATCCTATAAGTCCGTAAGCCCCAAAAGCCGGAAACATCCCAAGCCAAAATACCGTGGATCCCAACACTTGAGCGCCATAGTTTCAATGATCCCAACAGTGTATATAGAAAGTATCCAGAAGAAGTCCTTCCCAAGATTCCGGCAACCCCTGTCCCGCCCTCCGTGCCAGGCCTGGCAGCTCGGGGCGTTGGGACTTCTCAGAGCTTTTGGCACAGGGCTTTATTGCTGATGTTACCTTTGGTTAGTAGGGCTCCTTTCAAGGGATCTGTAGGGTTCCTTCAAAGGGATCTATAGGGGTCTAGGGTTCCTTTAAGGTCTAGGGTTCCTTTAAAGGGATCTTTATGTTTGGTTAGTAGGGAATGCAGGAATGGGGTACAATCATAACTACTATTACTACCATTCTTCCATTCCCTGCTAACCTTTGGTAGGTGATGGGGCCGATAGGGATGAGTCGTGCAAATCTTTTGGACTATAGGGTTTAGCGCTCGGAGCCAGAATAGTTCGTTTTTCGTTTCAGGGTTTTTGGGCTTATGGCACACGGCTTCTTTTTTGTGGTTCCGTTTTGCTTGTGCTAAGTTCTGCCTTTTTATACCTCTGGGCTCAACACCAGATCACTACCTAAACCCCTTCCTTTTCGTTGCTGACGTAGCCTTCCTGGCCTGCGCCCAGGATTCAAGGGGGATTGAACAAATCAAATCAAGTAGATGTCAGTGCTGAGGTTGTTGACCACCTAAGTGTGTTTCAAAGCCCGATGTCGCTAACCGTGGTACAAGGCCAAAATGAAATCTATGTTAGTTCGGTTAGAGCTAGAAGTTGTAGGCCTCACGACTGTCCCAGCCCAACGCCTCCGTCTTGCAGTCTTGTTGAAAAGCCCAGACCCTCACCAGGAAAAGCACACATGCCCACACAGCCACAGAAATCAAGCTTATTATGGGGCTATAACTTCCCAACCCTAAACACTAAACCCATTTCAAGCTTACCATAGGGCTATGACTTCCCAACCCTAAACCCTAAACCCATTTCAAGCTTATTATAGGGCTATGACTTCAGGCAGTGTGCATGCCAAGTATGAAGGGAAGCCGTCAGTCCCCAAACCACTTTACACCCTAAACCCAAAGCTTATACTCTCAACCTTAAGCCCTATATCTGGACCCTAAAGAACCTGCCCTTTTTAGGGCTCCTTATTATTATGATTTCCTTACGAGTCCTTAAAAAGGTAGGCGGTCTTGAGTTCGTTGGTAAACTCTAAGCATCACGAGAGCCTGAGCTTCACCGCCACCGAACTGAGCAGCCGACACCCATCTCGAAGTAGTGAGCTGGCGCAACCACATTGCGGGATACATCGCCAACCTCTTCTCGCCTGACATCTGAGTTTGTTGGTTTAGGGATGTTTAGGGGTTTAGGGTTTAGTTTACATGTTGTGAGCCTTGTCTCTTTTGGCTAGTTCTAGTCGCTGCTAGAGGACGGAAAGTCCCTCGGTTTGAGGTGTAGTTTGCAGGGAAACCTGGAAACTTCGGGTGAAGGGGAGGAACCCTGAGATGGCGATACTTCCCTGCTGGGAGGCATCCTCGAACCTCGCAGGAGCACGGCGGAAAAAATGAATCGTAGAGTCGTCGCTAGCCCTGAATACGGAGCTCAGGCCCAAAGCCCTCTTTAGCGTGGATAAGGGAGTTTCCGAAAAGAGGGGTACCTTATTTAGGGTTCCTTATAATAAGGATCCTACTATTTAGGGTGCTATATTAGGGTCCCCTATTTTCGGAAACCCCCATAACCCCAAACCCAATCGGAAACTGCCCAGGTCCCGGCATGCATTCAATGCACAGGCACTGCGGGCTTGCAGGTCTCAGGCTGAATCGCGTCGCTGTAACTGTAAGAGTCTCCTACGTTGATTTTACTGGCTGAGGTGTGTAGAGTGAAAGCCACGAACCTCATCTGGGTAGCCACGAAAGTATTCTGCCGGACGCTCAAAGCCAAAGCCCCTCAAAATAGAGGGAGCAGCTTCTTATTGCAACACATCCCTACTGTAATCCCTAGAATGTCAGCCCCAAACCGTAGCCTGGCTGTCCCGGCGGCATGAAGTAGAGGTAGCGGTGGCTGGGCACCCGCTGCCCAGGCGCAAGGCCCTTGCCGGCCCCTGCTCTCGCTGAGGAGTGGTGTGTGTGTGTGTGTGTGTATATATATATATATATGTATGTATGTATGTATATATATATATATACATATACATATATATATATATATATATATATATATATATATATAGGGGTCCGAGGTTTTTGACTCTTAGATTAATTATGTACCCCAAAACGCCTATTCTTACAACAACTGCTTCATATCAAATCGTGTACACCAAAAGACCGACTCCTACGGTCAGAAGAGGGCTGCTCTTGCTATACAAATTACTCAGAATCCTACAGGTAATTTCGACTCGTGTCTGGTGCAGGACTGGACTTTTTTCGGGCTTGGAGTTGCAGAGAAGCATGCCAAACAGAAAACTGGGACTGCACATGAGGCAAGAGAGTTTTTGTGAAACAACGGCCGTCATCGTCGAAATATGCAAAACCACCAGAAACACAACACTTCGAGCTCAGCCTAAGATAGAACAGAGCTTGGAGCAACTACGTCCGTGAACTTGAACAGAATTTCGTGCATGAATCAGACAGCTTCTTCCCGCCAAAAAAAAACTGGCGAGCCGGAAGCCCCATTTAAGGTGCGATATACGGTTATATGGACCATCGTTCATTTTCCATGTGGGAGTTTCCGAAAATAGGGGACCCTAATAGACTACCCTAAATAGTAGGATCCTTATTATAAGGACCCCCAAATAAGGTATCCCCAATTTTCGGAAACCCCCATGTGAGTCTCTAAACGCAAGCACATGATTAGCTTTGAAGGAGCTTTCGAGGTTCGGGTGTGAGCTCGAAGCTGCATCCTTGCGCGGGGCTCTCACCTCAACCGACCCAAGGTGGGAAATCCTGACGCTCACGCTCGGCAATACCCGGCGAGGTGTTATCGGGGTGGGAATTAAAATCCAAGGTGCCGAATTTGTAGCAAAACGTCCAAGGCTGAACTGTGTGATGACCCTGCCTAGTGAGGGAGCTCACAATCTCCTTTTACCGGAGCCGCCTAAGCGCAGGTGACACTTTGGTCCTGCAATATACGTCACGTCCTTGTTGCAGCAGCATAGCGAAGGTTCAGATTCCGGAGATCACTCGCTGTCGGAGGCGTACGAGGCCAGGGAGGCAAGGCTGCTTTCGGGCATCTCCGCCGGCTCCGGGGGCTCGGACTGCCCGGCTTCTTCGGACACTGGAGTGCTGTCCTTGGCTTTGACTTGTAAAGCAGCTTTGAAAGCCTTGGAGCCAGTCTTCGAGTTCTTGAGTATGGACTTCCGGACGGACAAGGACGTAGGCTGTTCCGACTGCTCCCGCAGTCTGGCAAACAACTCGGATTCGCTTTCGAGCTTTGCGGTACGAACTCCGCAGGGATAAAACTTATCGTAAATTCCTTGATCCAGGGCCGTGTTCCTCTTGCTCCTGGCATCCTGGTCATAGTCAATTTTCAAGCCCTCGTCCACATCTTCCCACTTAAACCCTTGATGCGCCTGCATAGCTCTCGTTGCGTGCTCGATGGCATCATAGTCCACGAAGACCATTCTGCGAGATTTGTGGCCGACAGGACGGCACTGCAAGAAGCCTTTGTCCAGCGCAAAGACCTCTTCCACACTATCTGAAGATTCAGCATCCGGTATACCAGTGACAAATAGGGTGTAGGATGGCTTTGTGTAAGTCCTCTGGCCGTTTCCGGCGTCGTATCCTCCGGATATGTCTCGAAACTTGGAGCCAAACGGGTTCGCGTCCTCTCCAGCACGCCGCAATCCAGACATGCTAGGAGCCTACATGCGCAAGCATCCAATCTTCTCTAAAAGCCAAACAAACAGAAGCCGTTCTTTAAACACTTCCAAACATGATCGAGGTAAGACCACGTGACTCTGCATTATTGAAATTGGTCGAAACATCTTTTGAGATCGCGGCCCTGCCTTCGAAGATGCCTGCAAATGCGCGATAGCTCTGTAGGTCGCATGCTGTGCTCAAGTACCGACCCAATGGAAGATACCTAGAGGGTCATACCCTACCCCTTTTTTAGGTTACCTAGTTTTATGGTTAGGATCTCCTATATAGAAAAGTAGGTACCTTAAAAAAGGGGTAGGGTATGAGCCTATAGGTACTATCAACATGACCATCACAAAAAGCTTTCCGAAAGACTGACCCGCCCCATCCCAAGATCCAACTTCGGAGAACCTATCAGAGGCATGTTACAAGCACAGGCCCTTGAAAAATCTAGCCATCTCGAGAATGTTGTTGGTCCGGTGTTGCCAAACAAATAAACCCTGAGCCCGCGAATCCAAATATCCAAAGCCAATAGGCACTGAGCATGGAGTCCCAAAAATCAGAAGCCACTAAACCCTGAGCCTACAATTTGGGCATGATTAATTATCAGTAATCTTTTATCAATAATCTTTGTCGGGCTCAGAAGTATCATTTTATAGTTGTATTTTCCCTGAACCCTATTCTAACTAGTAATTAAGAAGCGGATAGTACATACGGAACCCACATTAGCTCCCAGCCCGCCTCCGAACGCAGGCTTCGGTGGGGGCAATTCGGCCACGGGCCTTGAAACAGGCCTAAATTGTGGCTTGGCTTACCCCATAAGCCTTGCGAGCTATACCAAACATAGTATAATGACCCACTTATTTGCACATTATGCACATTTGTTCCAACGAGCTTGCCTTTGGAACTGCTCTATAGCTGAGGGTAAGAGCCTTGAGGTGAGTTAAGCGCTTATGCAGCTGAGGATTTACGAGGCTGGGGATTTTGGGGCTGCAAGACGAAGACTAGCTTTGAAACTTGTTCACCGGTCTTCTGGAGCCTGATGCTTCGCGCTTGGGTCTTGCGCTCGCGTCGGAATGTGTCTCACGCCTCTCTCTCTCTCTCTCTCTCTCTCTCTCTCTCTCTCTCTCTCTCTCTCTGGCCTTTTTCCATCTCGATATACTGACAAATGTTAGGTTTATGTCGACATGCATACGCAGAACCACCTCCATGCCCATCTGTGTGCCCATGTAACTTGCAGTGAGATAAGTGTAGTCGAACTTCTGGGCTTTAACAGAACTTACGCGTCTACAAGTCCAAGTGAATGTCTGCTTCCATCATCTCGACGCACTTATGCATCACTTTGTTCTCTCTCCATCTGTCCACACATACAGACTCGTGCCAGCTACAGTCTGCATGTCCACGACTGAGGGGCTTGATGCCCTACCCCAGCCCAAGAAAGGCCAACCTTTTCAGTATGGTTGGAGTCCATGCGCCCCAACAGGTTGCAGGTTACCTACCCGGTGCATATAAGATAAATTGATAAATGGTCTTGGCACGCCATCTTCCGCCTTTTCTGCACAAGCAGCTAAGCAGCTGGAGCTAGGCCCCTGGCAAACAACTCCGGGATGTTTAGCAGTTAGAAGCCAGTTTAATTTAGGGTTATGTAACGGTTTTAGGGTTCTGCTACTGGACCCAAGCCTAGTCTTGGGAATCATCAAGAATCCTTTTTCAGCACGGGCTTTGGGTTTTGGGTGTGTGAAGGTAAGGTCTTCGCAAGACACCAGCAAATTCAGTTTCATTAAGAACTCGCAAGCTAACCCTAAGCCGGGGGGGGGTTACAGCGCTTCGGGCCTGTTTGGTGCAGGGAGTTTGAAACTTGCCCGGGTTAGCCTTGGTAGTCTACATAGAGCCTACCCCTACCACCAACACAAAGCTATAGACTAAGTACTCCACTATCCAACGTGCGTGTGTGTGTGTGTGTGTGTGTTTATATAACCAAACAGAAAAGTGAAACAAAAACATGAAACATCGCTCATTTTCCCCGCAAAATACGGCCTGAATTCCGACGTACTTTCCAGAATAAACCTCATTGTTTATGCGACGTCTGCAGCTGGGCCCACCGACACCTCTGAAGGTGCTTGCCCTGTACCTTTCGATTTGACTGTGCGAAACATGGCCCAAAAACCCCTACACTCACAAACACACCCTAAACTGACGCATGCCAACCTCCATGACCACAGAGAGCATGTCAGGTTTCCGACGAAATTCTCTTCGGTGCAGGGGACTAGTGCATGGTCAAGCCGTCAACTCGGTGTTCTACAGCAGTTCTAGAGCAAGTACTTCAAGAACTCGGGGAGGTCGGAACATGAAGATCGTCCCTCTAAGCAATGCCTTAGTCCCTGCATACACTTATATAGTAAAAGCCAGAAAGTTGGAATATGATTATCCTAAACCCTGTATGGTAAATTATAGGGTATCCTACCCTGAAACCATATTCCAACTTTCTGGAGTTCCCTTTAGTTACTTATAGTCAGAGGACAAGGCCATTATAGGCTTGAGGGTCGAACTTTCACGGATTCCTGCATTTGTCAACGTGCTGTGTAGGCTTGATGGTGAGGTCGCCATACCCGGCGGCTCCATAGTAGTTTCATGGTTCATGTTTAGAATCCTACAAAAAAGGAGCCTTTATGGAGCCTATGGGTGAACCCTAACACCGGTTCCAAATCTTAGGTCACTGTCCAGCTCGACACTCATCTTCGACACCAGGCGCGCAAAGGCCACAGCCTGGAGCTTCCACTCCTCCTGCCACTACTAGGTTTTGAGGCTTTAGGGCTTCTCACTCCTACTTGGCAAGGATGAAGCCCGCATTGCAGGGTACTTGGTTTAGGGGTTTAGGGTTTGGGGTTAAGGGTTTAGGGTTTAGATCGCAGTAGCTTCAATACAGCCACCTGACATAGATTTAGGCTGGATGGCTTGCTCCACCAAGGCCCCGACAAATTGCCGTTTGTGCGGCGTGAGGGTTTTCTTGCTCTTTCACTGCATACACTGACGTGTTGATTTCCTGTCGGAGACCCATCACCACCCAGAAACCATCCCTTACACCAAACCCTATGCCTCCAGGGACCTTAGTATGGGGTGCTTGAGGGGTCTAGGGCCCTAACTATGAGGTCCTTGGAGGGATAGGGCCAAACCCATCAGTTCTCTCTCCGTACTCCCGCTCTCCCCATGGCCTCCTGGTCCTGCTGCTGGGGCGTGGGGGCCTGCGTCCACCGAGATGGGTGAGGTTCCTCATATGGGAGTGTCCGACAAAAGGGGACCCCAATATAGTACCCTAAATAGTAGGATCCTTATCATAAGGATGCATTTCAGTTTGGGTCATCTTCCGGCTTATGGCTTTAAGGCTTTCGGCTTGTCATGGGCCAGTCACACTCGCACACATGTTTGCTTGACCCATTGGCGTTTTTGTGGCTTCTGAAGGTTGCCTTGCTACAGATGTAAGTTAAAGGGTGCATGGGCATAGACACAGGCATTAACATATGCATCATATGCAGATTCCTTCCGATGTCGGGTAATGTACTTTCAACACAAGGGGAATTCCGCGAAAAATCGACGGGTGAGGTTTACCCGAGACAGCACGATGCTTTCCAAACGTGGTGTCCGTGATTTGAAATGCAGTGTTTCACTACTTACTCCAATGGGGATATGGGCTTAGAGAGTCCATGATCTTAATGTTGTAGCATCGCCCGATGTCATGCTTGCATCCTACAGTATACCGTCTGCTCATCTTGTGAAGCATCGGAAGGCACCAGTCGGTTTCTTTGCAGATGAACAGCCGTGGGACTTTCAGAATTCAGCGTATACTCTGCTCTTAAAGCAGCAAAATCGTCCTAATGGGCATCGCAGGGAGAGAGGGCAGGTGGTCACTGATCACCTGAAGGGTGCCCTGCATTTCGAATCTGTAGCCTCTGAGCTTGACCCGCCAGGCTTCTAACACGTCGATCGGGCTGGGCCTGTCCGACGAACAACACACGTGAGGATGAACATTCTTGTCCCTGAAGACCTCCTTTTTAGCTGGTGTTCGGCCGACCCTTGCTCAAAACTCGAGACAGATTTGGGTACATGCCATGTACCAAAAACCAGCTCTGAACGGAGCCCCAAAGGCCCCCCAAACATTATAATGCCTCAAGAGCCGTTGATGAGCCAGCCCTTAGCCCGGCCCGATAAACGCCCTAGAGTCCTATAGACCTCAACCTCAAGCCCTCAGCCGAAGACCAAAACCCCGAACTCCGCCGGAGCTTGGAGACTGGGCTTAGGATTTGGAGTTGTGAAGCTTGAGCCAAGAGTCCTGCGCCCCAAAACCCCGAAACCCGCTTCAGCTTGCCTGGCCCAGCCGCGAGAGCACTTGCGACCATTCAGGGGAGAAGCCCACGTCCACCTCTGCAAGCAGGGATTTGGATTTTGGGTTCCGCGTTATACTTCCCACGATTACGGCTTGGTGTGGAGCTTCAAGTTCAAGGTTGACAACTACTAGGCTCGGTCGAGAATTTGATTGTGAGTTTTGACTAAAAGAAAAAGGTGCAAGCTTTCTCGGCACCGACAAAAAACTGCGTTTTCCGGGCGGAGGCCCCGGAAAGCACAGCAATATGTGCTCAATGACCACAAGAAACATATACACCACTCATCCGATGCATGGAACTTGAAAGAGTGGCACTTCCTTCCACCAGCTACGAGCCCCAATTATTCAGGAGCCACATTTTTAGTGGAGGGGGCGGGCTGCGTACAATCTCCGAAGGGCAAGCAGGACGCGCTGAACCTGCTAGTGAAATGACAACCCTATAATGCAGGGTTTGGTGGCACGTTATACTAAGTATAATAAAGAAACTATTAAGACTCGTATAGTATCTTTGAGAAAGCTTAATCTACAATAAAGCCTCCGCCTCGAGACTCTCCCATCCTTAAACGGGGCATCAGTAATGATCCATGCAGTTTCGCATGACTTCGGCCCGCTAAGTGCAAGGGGGCTTCGGGCCCGCAGTACGCATGTATTGTTTTAGAGGGCGTTTGGGTGAGGCACTGTGTGCTGCGCGGTATTGAGGCTCTCTGGGTTTCGGCTTTGGCTTTGAGGCCTGCTCTTGTCAGAAACTTGAGCCTGAGCCTTGCCACACACCGAGCACCCAAGCCCTAGCCGCCCTTGTGCATCCAGGCCAAGCGCGACTGTCGAGTATTATTGGAGAAAGGAAACTCAGGGCCGTGCCGCCCGAAGACAAGAAACCTGAACCCTAAACCCAAAACCCTAAACCGTGCCGGCTTGGATGATTCTGATGCTGAGGGCAGGGCCACCTTGTAGGCCTGGCGAAATCTGGGGTTTGCGACAAAAAAGAGGGACCTTAATGCCTTAATAGTTGGAACAGGGTTCTTTGAAAGGGCTCCTTTACAGGGTACTATAAGGGATCTATAATTTAGGGGTCTTATTAAATAGAATAGGGTTTCGGGCCCATTATACTATAATTCTAGCAAGGAACCCCAATGTAAGTTTTAAAGGCCTCTATAGTAAGTCGTTCATTCACATGCATGCATACATACATGCAAACAAAAACCCTACCAGCATACTTACATATATGTATATATGTATATGTATAGATACATACGCACATCACACTTACTTACTTACTTACTTACTTTGTACTCACATTTACATACATTTCATACAACATACATAAGCATGCAGACACATACATACACATGCACTCTCACACACATATACACATACAAGTACACGTGCACATACATGTACACTACATTGATAATTATACATAATTTTACTTTACTTATGCATACATACCTACCTACGTACAAACATATATGCATACATATGTACATGACCACATGAACTCACTCTAGGGGAGTCGAGGGAGGAGAGGGAGAGAGAGAGAGAGCGAGAGAGAAACTGAAGGTCACGAGCAAAGCCAGCCTGGTGAGACAGCTTCCCCAGGCCGTAAGGAAGTTCTCCCTCCTTCCTTGGCAAACAAGCACTAGCTCTCATCAGCATGTGTCCTGACAGCTTCTCATTCTCACGTTTGTGCACCGCCATGTGCACCGCCAATACACACTCATGAATTACAACTACGACCATGAACATGTGCACCGACATAAGCTACACCACGCGTCAGTCGGTGGACCCCAGCAGTCAAAGCAAAGCATTTTCAGCAAATGTCGGGACGATAACTCCCATAGCCTTTGCTGGATCTCTATAGCACTGTACAGCTGAGAATTATGTGTTCTTCGCAATCTGGGTGAAACCTTCGTCAACACATCCGTAGGCCAACTGCCATCCTACATGCGGGTTTAGTCAAGCGAACACGGAACCAGCGCAAACTTGAAGCTTGCTGCGCATGCGCAATGTAGTCACTCTAGTATCACTTGAACAATGGAAACCATCTCTGCCACTCGGTCCCTGAGCTAAGGCATACCATCACAACTTGCTGAGGTTTCTACTTCCTCTGATGTGTGCTCGTTGTCTACCGCCACGAGCTTACTCTGGGGTGCACTGCTTAGGAGGGGTTCTCTTGCATGCAGCTGGCGTGAAAACGGCCGGACAAGCACAAACAAATGAGCGCAGCACAGTCGAATGTGCAGCCAGGTGCCAGCAGTTTCGTTCAGCTCTGCAAAGTGTGGGTATCAGTCCCTCTTCATTGATATCAAAGCCAGCCGACTTCTTTAATAATACCATACCATGGGCACAGCAAAAAAGCGAAGAGAGCACACTAAACCAAACACGAAAGCAATTGCAGTACAAGTCGCCATGACCCCTGAACAAAAGCAATCTGAGCTATCTTGATCTTGACTCGATCTAAGGTTTTCGGGCTCCTACCCTAAACCCTGGAATGTCCACATAATACAGGGCTCATCCGCCTACCCTCAGTCGTTCATGGAGCCGATGCCAGATGTGCTTTTGGACTTATGGACCCCTCCAAGAGCTCATGACTCGAAACCCGCCCAGACCTTCCAAAATCCCTTAATTAAGGAGTATACTTTAAACTATAATAGGATCCCTAGTATGAATTAAGGTATATTCCTTAATTAAGGGATTTTGGAAGGTCTGGGCGAGTGGCCCGGATTTTTTGCAGGCTTCAGGCTTCATGGGTTTGCTTCGGGTTGAGGGTCTAGGGCTAAGGGTTAGCGGGTTCAGTGTCATAGACTTTAGGGTTATAGGGTTGTAGGGTTTAGGGTCTGGGATGTCTTCGTCTGCTGACACCAGCCGGCTCAAACATTTACTGGAAGAGTTTTAAGGTCAACGCCCAGGCGATGACTGTCAAAGAACCTTCTAAATAAAGCAGCTGCTCCCTGCCATGCTCCTTGACTTCTTGCTTCAAGGTCGCAACTTCTATAGCGTCAGAGTTCCGAGCGATTCTGGTAAAACATGGGGTCACTCCAACAACCCACCCGCCCACACCCACACCCAACTTAAGCCCAACCCCACCTTCGCACCTCTGGGAATAAATAGGGCCAATTCAGGGAATACGGTGCGCACTCAATGTTATAAAGGTTGCCGACTCTACTCTGGATTTAGGCTTTAGGGCTCACGATGGCCTTCACAGAGGCAATTGGGATTTAGGGCCTGGGAGTCTGGGCTTCCGCCTTCGTGTTGAGGGACTTTTGGTTCGGGAATCAGATTCTTTCAGGTCTACTTAAAGGATCATGGGACTTAGTAACTAGGGTTATAATTAGGGTAGCTATACTTATAACCCCAATTAGGGTACTTATAACCTTACTTACTAAGTCCCATGATCCTTTAAGTAGGGGTCAAGCGATTTAGGGTTTAGTGCCAAGAGTCTGGCCTAGAAATGTCAAGGTGAGGTTTAGTGCCCGGAGATATTACGGTCTAGGCTTGAGGGCTCAGCTTTTCAGACCTGAGGGATTTAGACACAGAGGGATACTACGAACCTGAGCACTTGGAGCTTGGTGCATCTGCAAAGGGATAGCTGCTGCTTGGCGGTGAGTGAAGGTTGCGAAGCGCTTCTCAGGTAACGGACCAAGCACCTTGATATCCTGCACTTGTGAAGTTTCGGCCGTGCCAAAGATCCTTGGACGCCACCAGGTGCTTGATCAATTTCTGAAACAGTGGGCTTTGCCCACTCGCGGATCCATTTGCCGGACAATATGCTTAGGCTTCGTACAGGGAACAGTTCGGGCAGCTTCAAGTATCGCGTGTGGCACTTATCACCCCAAACCTGTCCTGCTGTTCTACCTACGTTGAGTGTCTGAAGCCTAGACCGTACACTTCAATTCTGACACCTAAACCCCTATCTTCAATCACTATAACACCCTATAAACCCCAAACCGTACTCCCCATAAGCCCTATACGACCTTTGCTGCTGGACTCAAGTGGAGCCATATACGCCCCTTTTTGTTTCACAGACTTGTATACGCCCTCTTTTGCAACAGGCTTTCCACTAAAACCTAAACTTTTTCATAGATTCAACCGATGAGCCCCTGAGACTCTTTCCCTGCGCTCACAGGCCCAAGTCCGTTAGGCACGCCCAGATTGGGCTTCCCAATGGAGAAGCTACTTGGGAACTTACTGTTCAAGGTGCAGGCTTCGTAGGTTTTCGAGGATTTGAGGTTTAGCGGAGAATCCAGGCATTAGGGTTTACCTTAACCCCGAAAATCATACCTTGTTGAGGGCTTATGTAAGGAAATCATATGAAGGATCCCTAAACAAGTAGGTTTTTTTTTTTTTTGGGGGGGGGTCGGTTTAGGGTTTAGGGTTTCGTTTAGGGTTTGGGGACCGATGCTTGGCGATGACGATCTCGGCGCTGAAACTCGGTTTCGCCAGATGAGGTTTGAGGGTTACAGAGTTGCGAAAACTCCTACTACAGGGGCCTTGATAAAATATACCCCCCTCCCCCCAAAGCAAATACTATTATTTAAGACCCCTATATTATTGTTCACAGTGCAATTCCTGGCAGCACATCTTCCTCCACAACTCATCAATCACAAAGGGGCAGGCGTCCGAGAGTTCTGAAAGTTGAACCCCTTGGATACCCGTGGTCTGAGCCTGATGTCTCAAGGGGCAATCTAACGGACTTCGACAACCACAGCTGGATGGAGGCTTCTGAAAATCTGTTTCGGTGGTTTATAGTGGGCTCCCACCATACCATATTTGGGCGTGTGCTTTATTCGGAAACCCCCAAATCCAGAACAACAGCCGCTCGGCTCTAATCAGCGCTTCTGACCACTCCTTGAGTGGTCAAGAGCCAGGAGGCCGGGGACGTCGGATGCGTGTGGTGCACAAGGGTTTAGGGTTTAGGGACCTGGTACATATTAACAGTGTCCGTAGCCATGGGCTGAATCACAAAGTGCGGCTTAGACTTAGACACCACGCGCTGCATGGCTTTTCCGTCTGCTAGGA